GGACTGGAACTCTGGAAGTACGACTGCCAAGGGCCAGAAGGGCCTATGATCTTGGATATGCATTATTATCCTATATGTATTTTTTTAGATAATGGAATCCTATGTGTATATGTGTTTCCGCACTATTATGGTCCACGTATCCAGCCATTCAGCTGCGAGGCAACCACGAAAACGAAACAGTTGCATCAAGCGAGACGGATCGCATTGATCCATCATTGTGGATCGTTGTCTACGGCAGCGAATCACGCTTGTCACCTAGTCAAAAATGCAAGACCATGCCTTTTCTCCTGCCCCTCCTACTCCTAGTGCCTAATCTTTATTTTTGAGATATATAATCCACCAATACGCCATTGCTTATTTGATTGGCATGTTAGATTATTAGGGATTTAAACTTTTAATTCAAATATTTCAGTATTGACAATCCAAAAGTCATTGCATCTGATATTAAGAATATTGATCAATCTCAATATTGTCCATGATTTTGCATAAAGAGATGATTGGACGATCAATGTAATTAAGAAATGGAGTTAGAGTTTGGTTTGCTTCGCTGAAAAAACAAGCCGAAATACTGTTCCGGCTAATTTGTTGTGAGAGAAAAACACTGTTCCGGCTAAAAAAATAAGCTGAAAAGTACGGATTATAAGAGAAGCGAACAAGGCATTAGTTTGTTAAACGTTGTAATACAGACGTGTTATTTAAAGGCTTAGTACACCTTTAATGTTAAATCCTACTAGTATAATATTTTCCCTAATAAGTATCCCCTTAAACATACTACAAATGTAAATAAAGGCATCCTTACCCACAAAATCCATCTACTCAAGGTCCCCCGGGCGTGCTGGGGCGTGGGGGCGCAACGGCGTGTGGCCAGCAGCATATACTCGCGCGCACGACGAGCGTGGAGCGCACAAGTATGGCGCCGTGACTGACTGACCCGTGGAAGCGAGGCGTCGTGCTCGGCATCACACGTCAATCGGTCTATCTGCTGCCTGACCGGTGACCGCGGCGGCAAGCAAAACGTTTGACGATGTGACTTGGGAGTCTGAGCCGTTCGTTGGTTGGTTTCTGAATCGATAAATCTTACTAATACTGATTTATTATGAGAGGAAAACACTGTTGGCTAGCTGATAAACCCTAGCTGAAACGAACAGGCTGTTTATCCACTTGCTCTCCCTCCCTCCCTCTCCCGATGGAGTTTGTGACAGCTGTCAGGGTTATGTATCTTTTTTTTTTTGAGAATTACATGGTAACAAAGTCATCACATACGTCTTACTGTGTCGACGAAAACATCGTCTATCCCTAAAAGCATAACACCGTTAAATTCCATCGTAACGAATCCAACCATCTGATCTATTACCGGTTCGCGTCGGGGCTGTGTACTTGAGGACATACTACTACTCTACAGCAAGCACACAAGGGAAGAAAGATGGCGGGGAGGCCTGTTTCGGCTTTCAACTCCCGAGCGGGCGGGCCAGATACGGCCTACTCATAGGCGTCCACCCAATGTTGGCCCATTTCGAGAGCAAAGCATAGGCCCTAGCCCCTGGCTAACGTGTCCTCGGTCCCGGCCGGTTCAACGGTGCGTGCGTCGACATCATGTGACGAAGAAAGGATTTGCTTTCTCAAGAAAATCACGTAACTGAAGACTTACATAGCTTCTGAATTTAGCAACGTGTACATAACAACATCCGGGAGGTTTTGGCCGTTTTGGGCTCCTGGCACACTGGATTTTCAGATGAAAATTTTGAGGACACAGATTCAAGACATGTAGCATCGCTCGCTTCAACGTTTCAGACTGAAGAAAATAATCAAATCGTCGCCACCCCACAGGTCCACTCGCATGGCAATTGGCATGCCGCATGCACTACTGTCACAAACCCTCATCCAACTAAAGCTACTGTACCAGTGATGATTGATCCATCACCACCGCCCCAAAATTCTCAAAAGTATTCAGGCTTTGTTACCTGCTTTCTGAAAGTCCCCATCCGACCTACACACTCAGGTAATAGCTAGCACATATTTCCCTGCGTTATGTATGATCAAGACAAAAGCTGTCGATCGATCGCCCTTGTTGATTTGTTTCAGCGTACGTTACGTTCCACCCTGACAAAGATTTCAAGTTGGAGCCATGATGGAAGCTAGAGAAACAAATCGCACGGCCTCTGACTGACGCCTGACGGGCGGCAATCCTGTCAATAGAAAAGAAGATCTACACGACAAGGAAAAAGCACAACAGGCCGGGCGGAGGGAGCGATCTAATAGGCGCAAGATGCATGAGGAAACGCTAGTGCTGACACACGCCATAGCAACAAGGAGCTAGCCAGCTAGTTTTGTTAAATCCCGGCCCTAGTGCTGCGTGCGCCAGAACGCATTACCGTCTAGTAGCTACCAAGCCGGCCAGATCGTGGCCGGCCGGGCGCCATCGTGCTTGTGGATCACGCACGCCAGGACAGGCAGACAGACAAGATCAGAGACTAGTACGTAGAGCTCCAACTCCATCTCTTTCGCTACTAGCAGCTTTGTTCCTGGCCAACTTGTCGCACTGCAAATGCCAAATGCATCATGCACGTTTGTGACCAGTACACTACTGCTATAGAGAGGTATTCAGAGGAGCAGCCGAGATATTAAATTTCAGCGATCTTGTCTTAAGAAGAAAGTTGCCGCACTGAAAACGTACGTCAAATAAGTAATACTAGCAGCAGCATCGCCTAAATTTGCAATAGGTTATTGTTTATTAGTGTGTACTCCCTTTATCCTAAAATAAGTGATGTTTTAGGTTTGTTCTAAGCCAAACTATTTCAAATTTAACTAAATTTATCGAAAAAAGCATCAATATTTATGACACCGAATATGATCGTTGTACTACAAAGTTAGACGTGTAATAAGGCTGTTTGGCCGGTTTCAATTCCCAACTCCACACATTAGGCCCAAGAGTTTATAGCCAAAATGAAGTGTTTCAACATATACAATGGAAGTGAAATATGCATGGCTCACCTAAGCGCCATCGGTGCACTCACTCTAAGCTCCAGCACTACCGGAGACTGGCTCTTTGCCGAGTGCCAAGTGGATTGTCGAGTGTTTTTTTTCGGGCACTTGGCAAAGAGCTTCTTTGCTGAGTGCCGAAAAGAAAACACTCGGCAAAAAAAAAAAACACTCGGCAAAGAAGCTCTTTGCCGAGTGCTTTTTTGACACTAGGCAAAGAAAATTTCAAAGCATATTTTGAAGCAGTAAATTAATTTAAATGAAAAAGTTTTCAACTACAAAGTTGTATAGCTCATCAAGATGTACAATGTTTGTTTTGGTCTTTTCTTTATATAACAAAGCAAAAGTAAATTTGTTCACAAATCTAACATATCTCTATTGTAGTTTATGAAACTACGAGAGAGATATATAAGATTTGTGAACAATGTTAGAACGACCATGTCGGATGAACATATGACCAAACAACTAAAATAAACTTTGTAGATCTCGAAAAGTTATGAAACTTTGTAATTGACAACTTTTTGATTTGAAATCATTTTGTCATGCAAAACTGCGTTTGAATTTCAAAAATTTAAAATTCGAACTTTTCAAACGACCTCGAATGGAAAAACAACCAAAATAAACTTTGTAGATCTCGAAAAGTTACAAAACATTGTAGTTGGCAACTTTTTGATTGGAAATCATCTTGTCATGCAAAACTGCATTTGAATTTCAAAATTTTGAAATTCAAATTTTGTAAACGACCTCGGATGGAAAAACTTCCTAAACAAAAAGTGTAGATCTCGAAAAGTTATGAAACTTTGTAGTTTACAACTTTTTTATTTGAATTCGTTTAGAGTCTCAAACAAGCAATTTGCACTCGGTTTAGTATAATACGTGGGAAACCAAAACGGAATCTAGACATAGGTGGCAGTGTGGTGCAGTGGTTAGAGGAGGGGACGCGCGAGGGAGAGGTCGCCGGTTCGAATCCCGCCGGTCTCGTAGCCGCGAATTTTACACGAAAAATGCTGGAGATGGGCGGGCGCTGGCCGGTGGGGGCCTCCACCGATTAATTTTTTTTTCCATTTTTCCGGGTTTTTTTCGATTTTTTTCGGGTTTTTTTTTATTCCAACTTTACCGAGTGTCGGACACTCGGCAAAGCAAAAGACACTCGACAAAGACGCTTTTGCCGGCCCATTGTTGGCCGAGTGGAAGCCACTGAGTCCGGTAGTGCAGCTCAGCTCCAAAAGTTGTAGAAGCTGAAGATACCTTAAAGCTGAGGATATTCTAGCAATGTGCAATGCTGTGGATCTGTAGCAATACGGCTGCATGCCGGGTATTCTTCTGGATGAAGAGAGGCAACTAAGTTTTGCTAAATTGCCACCACGGGCCACGGCGCTATAGTTAGTTGCAAGTGGTGATGGACTGCTCGCTTTTCCTCCTTTACCACAGAAAACTCCAAAGAGGCAAAGCAATAAAGTAGATTAAAGTAGATGGACTGCTCGCACTTGAAGGAAGAACATAGCTGCACTACAATCAAGGGCCGGCATGGACAATGGCTACAGCAAAGTGATGAAAGCCATCAGGTTTTAAATCTGCTATATATGTGGAGGAGTGCCAATGCAAGTTTAACAATGTAATTTGACATGAACATATAATAAACAAAAAAGAGTGCGAATTGTTTGGGATAAGATACTGAACAAGAGGGGCTAGCAACTAGCATGCAACTCTCCCAAATGGGGATGGCACTCACAGAGGCAGCAAGCATGATTGATGATAGTACGTATATATCAAACACGGCAAAAAGCTCAGCACACTAGCCAATTTTGAAACGAAAGAAGGAAGCATCCAGAGCTGCTTGATTTACAAGACACGTCATATATGGGTAGGCATACCAAGTCAAACATCTACTAAGCCTAACAAACCATGCATATTGACCCAAGCCAAGATATAGAAGATTTTCGCAGCACACCACACTCAGGCACTCAGGTAGTGATCCGATCGATCCGAGTGGCACGCGGGCCATGCATGCATATACTGCCTCACGAGATGGCGACGTCGCACGGCACGCTCTGGAACGACCTTGCAGACGACGGCGCGAGGCCGATGACGACGGGCGAGCAGAACGCCTGCAGGTCGTAGCGCCTGCTCCTGACGCCGCCGACCTTGAACTGGACGCGCGCGCGCATCCGGACGTCGACGCCCACCTGCCCCGCCGCGAGGTCGTGCCGCAGCTCCCGCGCGGTCTGCTCCCCGACGGGCACCGACCGCGCCACGGCGCGCACCTCCAGCCGCGTCTCGTTGCGGTGCGGCTGCCAGAACGGCGCCGGCGCGTCCTCGATCGCCAGCTGCGCCGCCTCGCCGTACAGCACGCGGAACTCCACCCACTCGTACAGGATCGACACGCGCCGGTTCGGGTTGTCGGTGGCGAGCGTGAGGTAGAACGTCGCGTTGGCCGTGGCGTCGGGTGGCGGCGTCACGTTGAAGTGGCGCGCCACGGCGCCGGTGATGGTGTAGTCGATGGGCTTGGGCCGGACCACGAGCCAGAAGATGAGCGCCGCCAGCCCCGCGAGGAGGATGGTGACCACCATGGCGGCGACGAGGCAGCGGAGCACGGCCACCCGCCGCGCCCGCCCGCTGTACGTGATGTCCCCCCGCATCGCCGCCGCCGGCATTATTACTGTAGGAAGCTGCACGTGGCGACGTTGCAGCTAGCTGTTGCGGTTGCGCGGCGCATGGACGGGTCGTGGCTGCCGCCGCGGCTTTGTATAGAGGAGATCGTCGTTCAGAGGACGAGGTGTGTACTCCATGTGCCGCAGGCTTTCTTGGCGGGCAAAGAATCAAAGAGATGGCCACACAGCTAGATGTCTGTGGTGTGTTGCTTTGAAAGCCGTGCTCCGATGCTCTTCTTTTTGCTTTCGGTTTGTGCTTTGAGTGACTGTTGACGACGGAGAGATTCGAATTTGAGTTCTCCCTGCGCACTGAAGGAATTTCGTTGAGTCGTCCAGACACATACCGTGGAATGCTTACAGCGTGCCAGGCTCCCGTGTAGGAATCTAGTAGAGTACTTTCTCGAGTCAACAGAGCAGCTTGATGTTCAAACAAGGAGCAAAAACGTTTGGATCTTATCCATAGTCCTTGCACTTCGAATGAAAGTTTCTTGAGGAACACACATCTCCTATAGTCCTATATCTCAGACGCCCAACTTTTTATCGTTGTTATTTAGACAGCATGTAATTTTATCATTTTTACTATAAAAAAGAGAGCAAAAATTCACCACCGGTCCCTGAACTTGGCCGGCGGTGTCATGCAGGTCCCTGAACTTCTAAAGTAATATATGTGGGTCTTTAAATTTGGCAGATGGTGTCATCTAGGTCCCTGAACTTTTAGGGTGATCACCACATGCCAAGCTTAGGGACCTGCGGTGATCACCTTGAAAGTTCAGCCGGGATGACACCGCCGGTCAAGTTGAGGGACCTGCGGTGATCACCCTAAAAGTTCAGAGACCTTGATGATACCGTCTGTCATGTTTAAAGACCCACATATATCACTGTAGAAATTCAGGGACTTGGATGACACCACCGACCAAGTTCAGTAACTGGCGGAGAATTTTGCTCATAAAAAATATAAATTATATCTTGTACATTGTCTTTTTAGTTATACTAGCAAACATGCCCGTGCATTGCAACGGAAGAAAAAAACTATCAAATGTTTGACCTATTCGCTTTATACAAAGGCAGCGGTCGCGGAAATTAATTTGTATAGGTGCTACTTTTGATGTTGTGACTGTTTGTTGCAGCAATCATAAATGAATGGACTGGTCAATGGAAATAAGGATCGCAATGTTACATATTTATTTATTTTTTATTTTTCTATAAAATTAAAAGCTATACTTTATTTTATGATGATCATGGTATCTATAATATAAATTAAAATTGGTAACAATATGATAATATCCTATGAATTCTGTATGAATTAAAATACAACATTGATAAATTTTTTCTTTCATTGTTAGGCACAAAATATTTACTCGCAAATAAATCATAACTTTAGTTTTCATACTATCCATGTGTTGAGTTAGATATCAAGTTCTGTAACTTCTTTTTAGCAGCCGTAAAAATAGACGTCCGGCGCCAGTAGCGCGTCCAGACTCAGCTCGGCCAACCCAACCGTAGGCTGGCATCATGGCCCACCAAAAGGATTGTCCCTTCTAAGCATCACGCATAACAGAAAACTGAAGGGACCGAAGCGCTATCTAGGAGCAAACAGAAAGGGAGAGCGTGCGCTCGTGTTCGCAACGCCATCCCACGGCGCGCCCCCTCTATCGCCCCCGCCGCGCCCCCTCTGTAGTCTGAGAAAGATGCAAGGCAGCAGAAGGCGAAGAGGAGAAAAACCAAGGCGAGGCAGCAGAAGGCGACTAGGGAGATGCAACATTGCTACATACACCTGAAGATAGATAAAACACTTAAAACATGCGTCTGAAACACTTGCAAAAATACATGAAACACTTGAAAACCATTGCAACACATACGCAACATTTAGATAAAACACTTGCAACATATGTGTGAGTGTAAAACAAACATCCAAACACATACATATGAAAAAATAGATGAAACATTGAAAACAAACATTTCCAACATACGTGTACAACCATTGTAACATATGCTATATCCCGATCTACTTTTGCAACTGAAAGGATCAAGATGACCAAGAGGGGTGGTGAATTGGGCTAATCTAATTTTTTTGCAATAATTAAGCCCTACACTTAGTCCATTTCACCCCTTGTGCCTAAAAGTGTTCTCTATTGTTGTACCGCATAAAAAATTTGCACCATAGGTTCCAATCCTACTCTAGCATGATAATTCTAAGAATGTAAAGACATAAATTGAATTGCTCAAAAGTAAATGCTTAAAGTAAAATTTTTCGAGGTATCGGAGAGTCGCCACTCTCCACTAGTCCTCGTTGGAGCACCCGCACAAAGGTGTAGCTCCCCCTTGATCCACGCAAGGATCAAGTGCTCTCTACGGGCTGATTCTTCGACACTCCGTCATGGTGAATCGTCCACAACCGCTTACACCATGACTTGGGTCATCCACAAGGTCCGCCGGATGATCACCAAGCTTCTAATCACCACCGAGCCGTCTAGGTGATGGCGATCACCAAGAGTAACAAGCACGAACTCTCACTTGACCAAGACAAACCTAATGAGAAAGGTGGATGCACACTTGCTACTCCCTGTGCACTAATGAGGTCCTTAATCTTGGACTATCAAATCTCAATCACCTCACTAGGCTCTTGCTCTCCCTTGCACTCCACAGTGTTTCCTCAGCTGAACAAATGGGCAATAGAGGGGAATTGGATGAGTAGAAGTATAAATACCCCCACTCAAATACATAGCCATTGGGACCAACTCCCCTTTTCTGCGTGACTACTGGACCGGACGCAGGTAGAACCGGACCGACTCCACTTGGGTCCGACCCTCAGAGTAATCTTGTGTCGTCATTAATCACCAAAACCCAAATTAGGACCTAGATTCTTTCAATCTCTCCCTTTTTGGTGATTGATGGCAACACAAGCTCGAGTATGTGTAAGAGAGAAGAGTGATATTTTCAACATGGTTGGTTCATATAAGCAAATGACAATAATATCGAAGGGGTTAGAAATGCTTATACGAACCAAGCCAACAACATGTACTCTAGAGATATGAAATAAGAACGAGTACAAGTGCATTACTAAAAAATTAAACATGTTTTATATTACAATGCTATATATGTAAGGGTCAACACAAGCTCATTTTTAGTGAAGTTACTTAGGTCAAGCACATTGAGCTCATTCCTCAACCGACAAAACGTAGCCTCATCCAACAGTTTTGTGAAGATATCCACCAATTGATCCTCGGTCCTTACACCTTCTAGTGATATATTATTTTTAGCAACATGATCTCCTGTGTTATTAGCAAGTTTTACCGCGCTCTCATTGTCATACAAAAGGGGTACTTTTTCTAGAACTACACCATAGTCTAGAAGAGTTTGTTTCATGTAAATGATTTGTGCACAACAAGCACCCGCGGTAATGTACTCCGCCTCGGCGGTGGACAAGGCAATACTATTTTGCTTTTTAGAGGTCCAAGACACTAGTGTTCTACCAAGCAAATGACACCCTCTGGATGTGCTTTTCCTATCAATCTTGCAACCCACGTAATCCGAATCGGAATACCCAATAAGTTAAAATCTTGCTCCTTTGGGATATCAAAGGCCAATACTTGGTGTGTGCTTAAGGTACCTAAGGATTCTCTTAGCGGCAACTAAGTGAGCTTCCTTAGGACTAGCTTGAAATCTAGCACATATACACACACTAAACATGATGTTAGGCCTAGATACGGTCAAATATAATAAGCTACCAATCATAGAATGGTAGAGAGTTTGATCAACCGATTTACCTCCCTCATCTAGGTTGAGATGTCCATTTGATGGAATTGGTGTCTTGATTGGCTTACATTCATCCATTTTGAACCTCTTGAGAAGATCCTTGGTATACTTTTCTTGAGAGATGAAAATCCCTTCTCTCATTTGCTTGACTTGAAAACCAAGAAAGAATGTAAGTTCTCCAAACATAGATATCTCGAACTCCTTCGACATCAATTCACTAAACTCTTTGCAATAGTTTTCATTTATTGAGCCAAATATGATATCATCAACATATACTTGACAAATGAAGATTTCTCCATTAAGCTTCATGGTGAATAGTGTGGTGTCGACCTTCCCAATGGTGAAGCCCTTCTCAATGAGAAAATCCCGAATATACCAAGCTCTTGGGGCTTGCTTTAGCCTATATAGCACATTGGACAACCTATAAACATGATTAGGATATCTAGGGTCTTTAAATCCGGGAGGTTGATCAACATATACTAGTTCATTTATGAAGCCATTTAAAAATGCACTTTTAACATCCATTTGATATAATTTCATTTCATGATGAGACGCATATGCAAAGAGGATACGAATGGCTTCAAGTCTTGCAACCGGTGCAAAGGTCTCTCCAAAATCCAAACCTTCAACTTGGGAGAACCCCTTTGCAACTAGCCTTACCTTGGTCCTCACAATAATGTCTTGATCATCTTGCTTGTTGCGGAACACCCACTTGGTGCCAATGACTCTTGTGGTCACTCTTTAAGTTTCCAAACTTCATTGCAGGTGAAGTTGTTCAATTCTTCATGTATGGCATTTATCCAATCCGGATCTTGAAGAGCTTCCTCTACACTTTTAGGTTCAATGCAAGAAACAAAGGAGTGATGTTCAACAAATGAAGCAAGTTTTTAAGAGTGAGGCACTACACCCTTTGAAGGACTCCCTATGATGAGATCTTGTGGATGTGCTTCAAGTCGAGGCAAATTTCTTCTATCAGCCACTTGAGAAGGAGGTTGTGGACCATCAACATCTTAAGCTTGTGTCACCATTTGATCATGGGAGATATGAGTGTCTTTATTTTTTACTCTCCCATCTTTATCATCATCTTGTGGCACATTTGACGAAGGTGGATCAATCACTTGTACTTCATCTTCATCATCTTTAGGCTTGATGTCTCCAACCAGAATGTTCTTCATGGCCTCCCTCAATGGTTCATCACCTACATCATCAAGATTCTCATGTGCTCATTAGGAGCCATTAGATTCATC